CCCCTATAAAATCCAATATCTGCAGTATTTAAACTCGGATTTTTTCTTCCAAAATAAAAAAAGTAAATTTCTATAGAATGCCTCACATCACTTTACACAGAAAACAAAGTATATATACGACCTCGATAATTGCTGCCAATGAGTTCCCTACTTTTGTCTGTCTGTCTTCTGAAATACTGACAGTTTAAAGTTATTTTACTGAATTGCTTTTTAACAGGAGGATGTTTTAATTGTTGTTTGTTAGAACTGGACAGATGAGTATTTAACATGGAATCCGGACGACTATGGCGGACTTGATGATACCTACATAATTGGACATCACATCTGGACACCGAAATTGATGGGTTCGAACGCGTACGGTATTTTTTCGAAGTTATTGTTGCCGAGAGCGAAAAGAAACCGCTGTTAGTTTTTTCTGTTGAAAGGCAGGATGATTTTGCGTCTTTTTTTCAATCTTTTAAGATTGCAGGTTTTAGTCTCTGCTAGTGGACTTTGCTGGTAGCTACTCATTATAAAATAATATAATTTCATTTATCACTGATCCTGAGAGACACATAGTCAGGTGCCATCATTAACGTTTTAAAATGAAAGATGATACACCAGGTTATGGTAAACCTCAGGGTCTAAAGTCCACCAAAACCATCCGGGGGAAAAAAAGCATTGATAAGAATAATGCAATATACATAGTTTATTTGTCAAATTACGGCTGTGTTTGTAGAGTGGGTACTCCATTAGCTAGATGATTACCAAGTATGTTATACATCTTTTAATGACATGTTTCCATAAGAAAAACTCCTACAAAACAAATACTGGCAACATTACTCCATAGTCAGGGGACAATCATTCTGACGTCAATAATGATCGTGTAACAGCGTAAAGCTTTTAAAATATCAATAGGTGGCTCTTATCTAAATGTTATGTAAGCGAAAAATACTATTTGTACATCTCTTCGTTCCGCATTGTACAATAAAACTACCCAGATCACACTGTGTTTTAAAATTGTATATCGATTGCGATTGGACTTTATAACAGCCTGGCACAACAAGTTTCAATATATCATTAGATCATTTCAGAATTGTTTCCTTTATAATTTGTTTGTTTTTGGCTCCATGGCCTAGTATCTTGTATTGAATATGGAAATATAGCAATTAGAGTCAGAATACGTTTATATTTCACGTCGATTTTTTATGATTCATTCAGTTACGTAAAATTGAAACGATATTGCAGAAATACTGTTTGAAATGATTAGTGTACTAGCGCTTTTATATTTTAAAAAATGAATCCGTTAGACTGTTCGGTTAAGTAATGAATAACGTGCTGTTGATAAATGCCATGTGAACAGTTTTTCGAGATAGCGTCATCAGATATAATGATTAAACAAAGTATATCTGTTCTATATTTACAGCAAGTCATATCTGGCAAAGTACGACTGGCTGTTTTACAACAACCAATCTAAGTTCACGATTTCCCTATTGTGAATATTCCCAAAATCACGATTTTCGTACAAGATGTCGTCAACAGACTTCCACATTACACAGGGTTTCAAAAAGATGCAGGTTGATGAAAATCATTGAGTAGTGTTACTTCCCCTTTTCTTTGTGCGATCTGAAGATGGACGTGTTTGATGCTCGTTAGTTGTCGTTTACCTTGTTTTCATTTGAGAACGTGTAAGTCTTTCTGTTGTTCATATTTGCCCTAGTTTTTATTGAATTTGAGTTTGGATTATGATCACGTTCACATCTTGGTATTCTCATGTTGTTCGTTTAGTAACATATTCGATTTTAGATCTTATCAGGAAAATGTCAGAGACCAAGACAGAAAACAATTACTATATTAAGATCTCTCTGAACATTTCGGGACATCTAAAATCGGTAAACGCATATCAAAATTCCCATTTACATGCTTTCTTAACGACGAAACTCTGAAAGAGCATCGATTAAATTTTTATCTTCAAACGAAATTTGTTCGGTTGTTTTAGTTGTGATTAATTTACGGATGAAATGAAATCGTTATGATCAAACTACGGTAATACAATATAGATTAGAAACTGATTCAAAGTCAGTAAGAAAGAAATATAAAAATACAGGTATATTGATATATCATAATTCATATTAATAGATATTAATCAGCTGGTGGATTGAATCTTATAAAATAACTACTTTTAACTACTATATAAGTTATTTGAAAATTAGAGCTCAAGTTAATTTCCGTAACTACAGCTTTATTCTTAGCAGGGATATGTTGATTTCACGCAGTTCATCACTAAGTATTAGAAAGTGTTACTAAATAAAGAAAATTATAAAAAAAATAGCTTCGAAGAAAATAAGATTCTGATACATTTACAGTAAGCATTTACTTGTCCTTGATGACTTTCGGAGTAACCCCTTATATAGTATCTTGAGATGTAATTTTAATCTGATGCTTTCGGGTATGATGATGCACATGTGTATACATATATTTCGAAGTTGTTCGTTCCACTGATATTTTCGTACGTTTTTCTATTGACAGAATTGACTCCCACTTTCTGGACAACATCCTCGATGACGTATACCACATTACGTCAGATGGTATGGTTTCAGTTACCCTGAACGGCATCATATCTATTGCCTGTCATATGGATCCTAAAAACTTTCCTTTCGACTGTCAAAAATGTTCTGTGGTAATTGATTACGGAGGACGTTCAAAGGATTACGTTAAATTTAAAGACTCTGGTTACTCCAATTACCCAACCGTGTATCACGAAAGTAAAACATGGAGTTTGTTATCCACAACTTTGGAAATTCCGAACAATTATGACGGTACCATTTTCTTTTTTGATATTGTGCTGAAGCGAAAACCTTACTATTATGTGATTATGATAGTGTTTCCTTCGGTCCTTTTGTCCTTTGTAACTTTAGCAGTTTATTTCATACCATCAGAAGAAGGGGAAAGAATTGGATGTGGCATGACGATTCTTCTTTCTTTTACTGTATTTCTGTCACAAGTCGCCGAACATCTGCCGGAGAATTCGGATACTCTGCCAGCAATAGGTAAGACGCAATATTTTACGTTGATCTTTTTCGAGCCAACTGAGGTAAACGAAACCACAACAAATATCTGAAACAATCTCCGACTCATCTGTAAAACGATGTCAAAATAAGAGCAAAAAGAAAGAAAAGAATGACGTTTACATGAAGACTCTTGAAAAAAATACAATAGTGCTTACTACCAAACATCTTTATATTACCTTGTTATTTTTAGAAGTAAATCTCAAGTTGAGATGTTTTATACAAGTGGGGCCTGATTTCGAACTGGCGAAACCAATGGAAAACTCTCAAAGGCATATTAGAATAGTGGCATATACGCAAATATATGACATGGCGAATACAATGATTAAGAGACCGAGTAAGAGATAAAGTCTGCGCTCGTAAATTGTTAAGGAAGGTAACTTTATATATGTCGTTTAGCCAACAAAAGTATTTTTAATTGTTATACAGATTAAAATACACAACGTATACTATTTTCAAGTGCAAATTTTTTTTCTCTTAATGCAATAGTATCCAGTTATTTGAAAGCACTGTGCATTATCAAAGCGTACAGAAATGCTGAAATTGTGATCCAGTGCATGTGTTCCATTTTCATGATTTAATACTTTAGGATATCTAATACACTTGCATGGTTGTTTCAGGATTGTATTTTTTGCTGGTAATGACAAGCTCCACTTTGGTCATCGTTGACTCTGTAATTATGGCTAACCGCACATCGTCTTCTCCCTTAAGCAAAGAAAACGACGAAACGGAAACAATCGAAAAACCAGACGGCAGTGATTTCGTTGGTGTAAAAACGAAAACTTGCAGACGGAATCGGAGTGCAGTGTATCATCATATTCTAGGAATAATATGCTTTACGATGATCGCATCAGCTCATATTGTACTTTTTGCAAAAAGTATTTCGACAAGTTGTGATAATGTTGGTTTGTAATAGCCAGTGTAAGACAATCCGTTGTATCAAAACGGAAAGGAGGAATTAACAGTAGCAAGGTGGACTACTCGCGGTTTTTTTTATCTTGCAATCATCTTCACGAGATGTGGTCATATGACGTGAGGCGAAGTTGTGACAACACATGTGTACGACATATATTAACTTGTGCATTATGAAACACATGTTTTCTTATAATTATGTTCAATAAAAGTATTAATCCATGCTGTAATAACCTTGTATATCATTTCTTCATCTTTAAATGTCTTATATTAGCACTGTATAATTGGATTTTTACACCATGAAAAATATACTTTCTTACAAAACTTTCCTGGCATTGATCGATTATAAAATTCAAAATGGCATGTGTTGATAATATGGATAAGGAGCTTAGATTTGTTTTTTTTTTGTGACGAGAAAGACAGTTTTTCTCTCACGTTGCTTGGAAAAAGTATTTTAACAAAGATATTTTTTCTGATTTTAAATTTTCCATTATTTTCAAAAACGAAAGATAACAGACAAGCTAATATTATTCTTTGTCAGCTGAGAAGCTGTTATGTAATGCATGTACATTTGTTAATAATTTATTTTTTTTCTCTATCAACCTCAGTGTTGACGGTTGTGGCCGTACAGTAACATCCACAAGGACTCTTGGTCAAAAATCTGTAAAGAACTGTTCTTGATTGTATAGCGCTTCTAATACTTCGTGTTTATCTAATAAGTATATATGTTTACTGGCATTATGTATTTAGTATGTATCAGCTGTGAAATTAATTCCTTTATTTTTTATGTATGACATACCTCCATGTACTTAGTCTAATTGTTGTTATATTTATGTATATGTTATTTTTGAAGTCATTTCAAATTTATTTGAAAACTTTGTTTTCAAATCTTTTTAGTAACATGGTCTACTTTGGCCACTGTATCGAGAAAATTCATTTAGGCGTTGCTGGTTATTTTCCACCCTGACTATAAGGTCTTTAAAATGTTAAATGGGAATTCTTATAATACCGATTAAACTCAGAACGTCAAAGAAAACAAACTTTGGAATATCTATACGTCTGCGTGATCCGATTAGAACTTCCTTATGAATACATGTATGTCAAAACATGAAAAGAAAAAACACCGAAATGTCAACAGAATCTTGATTCAAACTGAAATTCGAAGAAACTTGGGCATAATACAAACAAACGAAATATTTACGAGCCCCTGAAAGTGTACAAAAATAATTAGACCTTATTTAACAGGATTTATAAAGATCATTTGTACTGCTTGGTTTTATCTTTGGTTGGGATACCTTGCCCCTATTGTTTTTTATATCATGTGATGGAACTCTTGCATGGTGCTCATTTTTGTAATTATTCGATAGCAGGAAGATACCGCCTGAAATGACTTGCTGTTAATAGGCTTTAAATTCAGAAATCATGTCTTATAAAAACTCTTTCCATATCGAAGAAACCCGCCGTTAATATGTCATCATTGCCTCTGACACAAAATATCGATTAGAAAATTAAACAAAACAAAAACAAAAACAAAAAATGCATTTTTATAAACTGTATTTATTCTGAGGTGTATATAATATGGCTACAATATGCTTTATTAAGCAATAGAAAACACGTGCCCGGTATCCATTTCTGTCAATAAAACGTCATTACTTTTTCCATAACAGACCTGAAATAAAATTATGAATCTCGTTGTTTTATTCAGATATATAATAGTTTATTATATGTACCTGTCATTTATGATTTCATCAGGCTCCTTGTTGGATTTTGTCAATTTATATTACATTCTCCTTATCGTCTATAGCAGTGTAATGCATCTTTTAATTTAATATAATAAAAAAAGATAAACGTTAGTATGAAACTTATTTTAATAAATACCTGGATAATCAATGCATTCCCTGGGAACCATTTGTGCTGTAAAAGTGAAAACAGTTTTATTGTGATACTCAAAAACAAAACAAAATATTTAAAAGAAAAATTTTGTCTCATCTGAAGTAGTATTAATATTTTGTTATAGAATTAACGTGGGCCAACATGGACAAGAAATTACAACATAACGCAGAGTTTCCAAAGTTTTTGCTATCACGTGCTGATAAATTTAAAAGATATCGATATGAAATACTACTGTTACTGTTAGAAAGGTGGACATATTACAGGAACATCAGAATCATAGAGATGGTAATGACGTTAAAACACTGTGTATTGCACAGCTGCAGTAACTATGTTGTAAATTGTATATTTGGAACATTATGTATCGTAAGTGCTTGACAATGTTGCAAAGTTGTGAATGAAAGAATTATATGAAAAAACAAACGAATTATCGATTTGTTTTGTTTTATGTTCGTTTATTTTCAGTGTAAATATCTTACTTACAAGCGGTACAGCAACGGCTATTCTCTTTAACTGTAAATAAAAAAATCCTCAAGATTATCATCCTCATTTTACTAATAATAATAATTCAATATTTTTTGCCTGTCCGAATAATTTTCTGTAATTAGTATCAATATCACTTTAAGTTTTGATAATTAAATGTTTACAGTTGAGACAATTAAAAAGATCAGTCCCAGTTCTAAAAAAAAAATTTCACCAAAAACGTAAGCGTATATCATGTCATTACATGAAATACTTTGAAAAGAAGTATGTCATTTTGTATATAAGGCATTCACTGCGTTAGAATGTTTTAAATGATTTTATGAATCTTAATTCATTCATTCATACAAACCTGGATCTGTTACACAACCTGTAAAAAAAGAGGGTAGTAAGGTCAGTGATCGCCAAAACATCGTCATCCAGTTATCATAAACATCATGAATATGTTCAATATCGTATCATCATTTCAGCCCTATTATGTCAATATTGACAGTTACATTATGCAGTTTCAAAGCAATTTTGAATGATAAAATGACATCCAGGCTAATACTATTTTTCCAGTTTACAATCAATCCCCTTTTCTGGCAGAAAAATATAATGTGTGGTAATGATTTATTTTAAACTAATCAATATGCATTTCATATGAAATTTCATAAGCAAGATTTTTTTTGTTTGAGAGCTTGGCGAACAAAATCAAATGTTGGCAGTCGGTTTGCTGGCGCATTTTCAATTGATGACGTAACGTCATCTGTTATAGTACCCTAATTAACTTTATAACTCGCAGACAAAGAAAAACTACACGGTATATTACTTCTGTGATATACGCGAAAAGTTTACAAGGACGAATTCACTGGATTGACAGGTGGATCACGTGATATATGAATATAATAATAGTTGTATTTGAAAGACAGTACCGTTTCTATAAGATCATAATCATCCAAATTATTAACGTATTCAATTTCTAAAAAACGTTAACACTATCGAATAAATGCTTACCTTCGTAGTCAGTGCATTCATATCCTCCTCGTTGGTCTGTAAAGTAAAACATATCTATCAAATGCAATATCAAAACAATCAAGCGAATGACATGTCAACAGTATCTTAATCTAAACTCAAATTTGACGAAACGAGGTCACAAATAAACAAAAGACAGATTTATGCGGAGACAAGGAGAATAAGAACAAGTGTACCAGACACCCGCTTGTAAATCTTGGTCAATCCAAGTAATTAATGTAACGTTCCCAAATGACACCAAGTTAGAAAAGATGTTATGAAATATCAAAACCATGAATACGTTAGTTGTAATCGGGAAACAACCCTTTTCGCATCGAAAGTACTGCACTGATCGTACCATGTATTATTCTGCATGTTATTTATGTAGCATCTCTTAAGCAAATATTATATTGCGCTAATCTATCAAAATAGAAAAAAGTAACATTTCCTCTACTCCAAACTAAAACCGTTTACGGTAAGTCATGTTAATCACACTTGGATATTAAAACATTTTTTGCACAACATTCAAAACATTTCTTTCATGGCTTGAAATAACCGTGTTTATCATTTCCATGTTATGAAAACAATGCAAAACTTATAATCAATAGCAGTATCGTTTTTTAACATTTAATTTTGTAATTATTATGTTTTCGTAATACATGTTTAATGTATATGTGTGAATTCTGTTAAATTATTTTCATCATAAGGTTATACCGTAATTACAAATGCAATGCGACTGAGCTTTTTTGAACTTAAATGTTTCAAAGATTTTACATACCAAGACGGCAGCAGATCAGAGCATCATCTGGAAAACAAAAGGTTAACAATGAATTCACTCACTCAAATGAGACCTATGTTGTATAAAAATACAATAGAACTTTTGTATTTTTTTCAGTTTTACATTTCATAATTTTATTTTGTATTATTGTAACGAAAGATTATTTTAAGAAATTTAGAACTTAGTCTCGAAAGATTAAATGAATAGGACACTGGTTTATAAGTAATAGTGTAGTGTAATTAATATTGCACCTGCCTTTCCGCAAGACATCCAAAGTATCTAATTCCACAATTTGTGTCAGAATATTTGAAACATTTAGACAGACAAAGCGGGATGGTTAAAGAAAACTGAATTAAAAACAGGAAATTGCTAACATTAAGTTGCTGAAGACCTCAAGAAAAAAATTAATTTATCAATTCAGCAGTTTCTTGTTATTCAGCTGATGGATCACTGTAGTTTGTAAAAGTGTTAAATACAGTAGTAAGATAGAGTCAATTGCAAGATGAAAAGATGAATAAAAAATGTGTTTAAGATTAAATCAAGCAATAAATGTAAGAAAATAAATTCAATAATGAAGAATAGATTTCAAAATGACGATCATATATTTTATAAAAAAAATATCATATTGATTTAATAGATTAAATGGATTGAACAACATGGATATGCAAGTTATCTCCCTTTTTCAAGATACATAATATGAAATATTTGAGAAAATTAATAAATCATCAAATTAACAATAATAAGAATATACGGATATTTATTATGCAAAAATCGTATTGGTCGAATGTCACGCAATTTCACATGTATATAATCATCCTATATTTATTTGCTTTCATTTTCAAGCCTATGTGATGGTCATTTCTTTAGAAAAATAGTTATTTGTATCTGTATTGTCATAAATGGTAAAGGTAAGCTTTTGGGTTAAAAGAACTTATTAATATGACCAAGTATGTGATATTTATAGAAATAATTTAATACTATTTAAAACTAATAATCACAAGGGATTGAGATATAGGTTGAAGTTTATAAATACTTGATTTTTTTTATAAATTTTCACTGGCAAGGCTTATCTACCTATTTCGTAGGAGGAATATTGCATGTAAGTGCTGTTGAATACAATTATTACATGCATCAATAACGTCCAAACAAATATTAGATAATGAATATTTCTTTTTTACATAATAATGATAATTTTATTATAATAGCATTACCGTTAATATAGATGGAGTTTAATGGTAACATTCAATAAGTGTTGTGGACATGTAATATCCATATGGGCGTTTGTCGTCAGATGTCAATAATCTCTGATATATGTATTTATATGCAATATAATTAAATAGGTAATAACAATGATATCGTATTTATGTAATTATCTATTAATGAAAAACAATAACAATTACGGTACCAGTATATGTTACACTTAAGTGATATTAAAACCTTCTCGTGACAGCTCTGTAATTGAGCACACACTTTATCAAATGCTCGTTCTGTAAATCAGAGATATGATTACTTCGTTTTAGATATTTTATATATTATTCTGTAATTATTGTAACACTAAAGGCAAATGATGGAAAATTAGCTGATACTGGGTACATTATCATCAGATTTATTTGTAGTTGAGATAGAAGAAAAGAAGTACTTCATCTCTTTCTACATGATGTATAACATAGCATTCACTTCAAAAATGGATTATTCTTATTTAGGTCATATCTAGCATCTTCTATCACTTACTTTTAGGTATAGACTAATCGGAGTTCCTTTGTTTTCCTAATTAGTATACTCATCTTAATAATCAAATTGTTTTTACCTGTGGAATGAACCTGTTCTGATCTTCGGTAGGTTTGTTGAAAAAAAAAGAGGAATATTTATACCTGTATTAACATATAAAGACTTGTATTTGAACAGATTTTATTTTTTTTCCAACAGATATGTAAAATATGACAAGTTTATACATACCTCCGAGAGGGATGCAGTCTGTAAATGAAATTGATCAACTTAAGTAATCAATGTAAATGCAAAATATATTCGTTATCGTATTATTGAATTACATCTCTTGGATCAACCAAACATAGATGGATGTATTATGCATGTACATTTTGGATCAGACTACGATTATCTATTTGTTATAGTATTTCAATGCATACTTTATTTACATTTTATTGTAACCTCAAACATTTGGTCAAATAGAACTCATCAAAAATTATAATTTTAATTTAAGTGTTCAATTTGCTCTGGAGAAGTTATATCTTAATATGATTTCTTATTGAGACCAACTTCCTTTAGGTTTTGGAAAAATGTCAATTTGACATATCTAATTGACAGACGTTAAAAAGTTTGAAAATTATATGATACGATAAAATAGGAGAAATGCATTGACGACAATGATACAAACTTCTCTTGATGCAGTTAAAGTCATCGTCTTCAAATACATCTCGATCGAACGGAGACATTTGCTGGTAAGCTTGTTTCCAAGTGCACAAATGAATCCAGAAGGAACCACCGGTGACTTGAAAATAAGGATGGAAAAAAGCGTTATTTTTGTAATAATTGCAATTAATTAACATGTATATCCGATAGAGCCACAACATCGTCATGTTTTCATGTAAATTCAAATTGAATTTCGTACTGAATACAAGAAAAACTTATATTTTATCTATAGTTGATATTTTCCGCTAAAAAGACATCCATGTTCAAATGAAATGTGTAATGTAAGAGCCCACTATAAGTGGTATAAAAACTTAGCAGGAAAAAAAAGAAAACAAAAAGCAACAGGAGTGAAGTCAAACCATAGAAAAGTTGAAATACTTTCATACTGTTGTTTCTTTACCACCACACACTGAACATCTTTTTCCAATACATTTAGCTTAGCGTTGACTTCACTAACTACTTACATACTATAACATAGTCCTCGCCCAGATATAGAGTCGTGCCACACATCGCTTCATTCGTTGACGCCTTTATGTTAACAACACTCTTTCCTTCAATTAATCTGCTAGAGTTCTGAAATAGATTCAATCAATTCAACTGAAGATATGAATGTCTTAACCAAGGAATTCAAGTGGCGTCAAAATGCAATAAAAAGATTGCATTTAGAAATAATAAAAAGTTGAAAATGACAAACGTTCGATATATATCGTAAGATTGTGCACAAGAGAATAGCACTTTGCAATATAAAGATAAGAAATTTATACAGTGGAGAAAAAACAAATAAAACGTGCATCATACGTATATTTCGTTATTTGTCAGTGATGCTAAGGACCTAAATATTGAAACCTTGAGGGTTATCTATGCAGAAAAGTTCAGTTATCATCTACAAACCCAGTTTCGGGAATTTGCTTATTTATATTATTGGTAGTACTTGAGTAATATATTTTTTCTCTGTTTATTTGTTCATTGTTACATTTTTTTGGCAAAGTATACATGTATTTCTAACACTCTGTATTCCAGACATAATAATTATACAGTATTGGCAATAAGTTGTACTCTGTCAATTTTTTTTCTGTGAGACGAGCATGAAGGAAATATAATGAACTTACTCCTGTAGCTTTGATAATATCCGTTATTTCAAATGCGTACGACATTATGCCATCCCATGGGAAGTCAGTCTCGCTACCCGATATTAATGTCTTGTTGACAGCAACTCCACGCAGAACTAATGAAAAGACATTCATTAATATTTATCACAATCACTCGCGGTAATACAGAATAAAATCATTATTGAGATCTTAATTTGGATACACGTGAGAATTATGATAATTTTTGTTATTTGAGAACATATGGCCTACAAAATACATATCACTGGCTTCAAAGACTTCGCATATAAAACGCTTTCTCCTCCAGGTATGAATTGTCCCAACATGTCAAGTTAAAAAGGAATTATTTATTTATAAATGGGATTGGGATGGACAGGCAGTGCATTTATAATGCATATCCGATCCACATCGGTGGCTTTGGTCCGATTCTCGATCGGACGTGAACATGTTTTGATCTTTTACCCAAACACACCGGATTACCAAAGTAATCCCGAAACAAGTTACAACAACCATCCTGTTGAAAGTTTTGTAAATATATATACACATTTTGTAACACAAATGACAAAGGAAGACTGTCCGAGAACTGTGCGAGCCTCGAACTCACGATGTACGACACCATCTCCGGCCAAATAATCCCAATCTGCCTAATATTACACACCCGATTGATGTCGAGGTGGTATTAACGCTAAGCAGTTTAGAATTTCTTGGCTAAGCAATTTGTTCAAGATTCATAACCAAAATATGCTAAGAAAAACCTCTTTATTCAGCAAAACATCATACTGTTAACTACATCCAACATCTTAATTCGAATTCAAAATCGATGTGATGTGAAAATATGTCGAAAGGAATCAAGTAGACAAGACCAAGTGTTCTGGAAGGTTAAAATTCACACTGATGTAGCATTAAAATGGTTAGAGGGTTTCATAGGTAACTTGTATCTCTTATTTTCTTCTTAGATGTGGTTACACTATACTTGTTCCTGTTTTCATATAATCTTGTTTGGTTGACTTGCTGGGAATGATTATTGTATAATAAGTGAGTGAATGAGTAGCGCATGCGCTGCACTGTCCACTATCCTCGTCCTCTCCCTCTGCATCTGACCGACACCAAGCACACACCTGGTACCCTGGTAAGTAGTTTAGTGACCTATATTGTCATAGATGTCCTTCAGATAAAAGTTATACAAACCCATTTATATCATTTGTTGATTATATTAAAAGGAATGGAATTCTAAGCAATACATCTCAGGTTCCTTTTTTGAATACTGAAGTACAGTTTGGACGAACCAGAAGGATTCCCTCGTCGTTATTTGGCCAAACCAGCTATATTCATATGTGACATGTACTTACTCAATTCAGTGTCTTCGCTACAGTAGTAATCTGCAAGATCACCGCCAGGCCTACAAGTGCAACATTCACTTGGTCGAAAACAGACAGCTGCCACCAATATGATAAATGATTTCCATACCATATTGAAAAAATCCTCAGTATGTTTTATCTGTAAAAATGAATACATATGGAATAATTATTTGAATTATACATTGAGTAAAACCACAACGAAAATATTAACATGTCAACAAAAACTTAATTCTGTTCTATGAAACTAGGACAAAATATGAAAGAGAGAAAGATTTACACGGAAACTTGTGAATGTTCCGGAAAGGAAATGTTAATCTTTGTCAATTCAAGTTAGAAATATGAGAGATGAGAAAAAGTTTACAGCAAATTATAACGTCTTTATGAATAAACATAATCATTTATTAATATAAGGTTTTTTTGTTTATTCTGTTCACATTCACTTTAACCTATAACGGTGTCTGAAAATACATACAAAAACACACTTGAAATAAAATTTATACACCACACTACAGATATCTTTCTATAGGGCATCAGTATCAGTCTACAACGAAACCAATTTTCCACGAACACTATAAAGATTGTTATTTTCGCCATAATCTTAAAGAGAAGTTGATGTATCTTAACAGAATTCATAATAAACTCTAGTTTGTACAATCAAGTTATATTTCCATGGTATTTTATTATTATCATTATTATAAAACAGAAAAACAAAACAAAATACAAACAAAAATAAACTAATTGACAATAGCATGATACGTTAGTAAAAATATTAAGATGAATGATACTCACCAAACCGATTTTGACGTTATGTCGCTTTGCCGGTTAAAGTAGAACTAACGTAGTATGATCAGTTGCTGAGTCGACATTCAATTTGAACACGTATTTCAGTGTAGTTAGACGCGTTTATTTAACAGATGAAAATGTCACAGGAAATGGCAGCATATAGTTTACTTCAATTTATAAATTACGTGTTTTTGATAAACAATTCAATGTAATCGCTACGTCGAAGGCAACAGCTGACACTGATATAATGATTAGTGCACTGAGGATTATGAGGCAAATTTGTTATTGTAATGATGTAATGTAAACCATATTTTAGGGGGCTGAAATGTCGAGTTTTTCAAATAAATGGCATTCCATGTCGTTTAATTTCGTGGATAAATCTACACAAGAAAGTTTATAACGGTAACTAAATCGATAACTTGTAGAATTTATTCATTGGTGAAACCCTCCATAAAAAACGTCTCGCCTAATGCCTCCCCTCCCAAAAACTTGTAAATCCTACAGTATACTTTTAGTGTGTGTAGGCCTGTGTGCCCTATTGCACACCAAATCGTGATGTAGAAGCGAAGAAATAAGAAACACGCAAAAAAGATTTTACCTCTAATGTGATTACTTTTTATACATATATCACACGAACCTACTCCTACACGTCGATCTTTAGCCATACCACACTTAAAATATCTATGAGGATGTGTTATTGACAAATGGCAAAAGTCAGTATCGTTTACATGAAACGAGCAATTTCATGGATATTCGAGATTTACACTTTCGATGGGTCTAAATGGGTGTCGAAAATTTAATATCAATGATTTTCTGAAATAATGAATATAAAATGGGGAGCCATGAACTCTTTTGACTGACGTTACCCTCGTTAATTCACTATTAACTTTCTCAGATTTACGACTCATCTAGCCCCTATTGTTGATAACAGTAGAAATATAATTGTGTATAATAGCATAACAAGAGAACTTTATCTTCAGTTAATTTTCAAAGCTTTAATTTGAGTTTATGATATAAAAATGGCACCATTTAGCATCATAAATATTATCCTGCCTACGCATTCCAGTAAACAAACCACTTGCTGCATTTGTATTTACCGACCGATCACGATTTGATTCGGTGACCTTGATTCCAATGAAGTCGTTTAATGTTTACTTAATAGTTCATGTCACGCCTGTTTTACATTAAAGGTCAACTCATTCATTGGGTACAGTTAGGGCGTATTGTAAATACACTGATGTTCATGTTTATGCACTGGTGTCTTAAAAATGACCAATATATAACATGAAAGTTAGTTCTAGTGTCAGTATAAGGAGTCTCAGTTAATATCAACAAATTTAAAAGAATCATGAAAATCAATAACAGGTACCTGTATTTCCAGATTACACTGACAAGAGTCAGGGGTAAGGATGCTGTATACTTACACATGGTGGTGCTGGGATAATTCTGTGGTGTGGAGCCCACACTTGGGACAGACTATGTCATCACTTGTAAGTAGGATGACGTCATTTATCATAAGCTAGGCGTGTTTGATACTTCCTTTATTGCCTATTGGTTCCGTTGTTGTGTAACTTCTCATCTGAGAACATGACATTACTTACTTTGATTAACCAAGATTTAACATAACGGTATCGTCGATGAAGCAGAAGACGCTTACTTATCCTGGACACCTGGTCCTTTTATCCTTATATTTTTTCAGAAGTCTCTGAGCAAAGTCTTTCTTTTGTTCACATTTTCCCCTTTTTTTGTAATCGAATTTGAGTTTGGATGATGACTCTGTTGACATGTTGATATTTGCAATGGCTTGGATTTGCTAATTACTTCGATATACAATAGAACGTTCAACAAATTATGTTTCTGTTAACACAAGTTCAAACCATACGCTAGGACTTTGAATGTATACAAATGCAGGTGAGATATTTTGAAAGCGTTTTGGCTTCTAGTTTTCTGGATTTGTAACTTAAGTTGTTCCTAAGGCTGACATTACCGGATACAATCTTTTCCTACAGCTGATAATGTCCATTTCAGCCGATTCCTACAGTTATTTTCTTTTTTGTTTCATTCAGTTCCTATAGGGAATAATAGCAATATCAATCCGTACGTACGGATGGTATTGTCTATCTTAGTGGATTAGTAAAACCAGCAACGTCTGTTTCAGTCAATTCCTATAGATGATAATGTGTATTTCAGCCAATCTCTACAGGTGATATTGTCTATTTCAGTTGATTCCTATGGGTGATATTATCTATTCCAGTCAATTTCTACAGATAATAATGTGTTTCAGCTACAGGTGATATTGTATATTTCAGTCAATTCCTACAGGTGATACTGTGTCTCTCAGTCAACTTCTTCGTGTGATTTTGTCTACTTCAGTTGATTCCTACAGGGAATATTATCTACATCAGTCGATTCCTACGGATGATTATGTGTATTGAAGTCAATTTCTTCGCATGATATTGTGTATTTCAACCAATTTCTACAGGTGATATTGTGTATTTCAGTCGATTCCTGGTATTGGAGTGAGAACGGATATTTTGTGGTATATCTGCGTGGTTACCAATGCCTTACGATGACCTGTTTCTTGGCGAACTTGAAGTATTCGAGGATGGAGATTTTGATTGCACAGATATACATATGTTTATGTTTCCATGAAAGAATTATACTTTGTAATCTTAAGAATTAATTTTCTGTCTTGTTTGGGTGATCGGGGGAAAACTACGTTTGAACTAGAGAAAATCACCTAAACAATTGAAAAATCAAAACTATATTTACAATTTTTCTTTTACAGTTTTGTTTTCAGCGATTCCATTTAAGTTTGCCGACTTTTAAACTAACATCATACAGCAGCACATTGTTTCAATCTTTCTGATACCACAACAACAAAATATGAATATTTCACACATAATTATTAGCTACATACAAAAATCCAAGGGTAATTCCATTGAAATTCCATGAAAGAAAACGTGAAAGACCATATTTCAAACGCGCTTTATTAATTGGGTGCGTTTTAAAGATCGCGAATTTCAAGCTAAGGGTCTTTCATTCATAATATCATATTACTACGCGCGCGAGAGAGGGTATTATTATCCATGTATAATGAGAGTGATTACAGAGTACGGATTTTATAGATTCAACTGCAATCTAAAGTTATTACTCAATGCTTTATTATATTTCACATTTGAACAGATTTACACGAGATGAGCAGATACCTGATAAATCAAGATAAATATTTATTTTGATAGATAATAGGATTACACTGAAAAGTGATGAGTTGTCATAATTATTATCTACTATTGACAGATGGTGGAATAGAGTGCAAACGGAAACAAGTTAGGTTTAACCTTTGTTTACATTCTATGTCATTTTAGGTTCTATCGCTCACTGTTCTCGATGATAGAATAAAATCGCAAAAATAAGTTGATAAATGAACATTATGAAAGGAGTTTTAACAGAGAAAATAAAGTGACAGCTTCTTCCGTAAAAATACGCCATTGTTGTTTCAAGCCTTTGGTAATCCAGCTAAAACGCCACTGATACCACCAAGGCAATGTAAGACACGACTCGTTATATAATTTTTATTAGTGAATTGAACATGAGTGAGATATATTCTCGACACGCGTTGAGCGATGAGTAGGAATATGTTATTTGTGTGTTTACAAAATGAAGGGTTTTTTTCATTGAACACTTTGACTGGCATTTTACAGCAGAAGTTTATTAACCTCAGGTTTTAAAACTAAGTAAAAAGGAAATCGTATTTAGAAGCAAAGGACAATATTAGTGGTAGATTTATTTTTCAGTATTTTTTTCCATGAGCACGCTGTCAAAATTATGAAAAACAGTTCATTAAATTGCCGCGTCGCATTAGCTGCAGGCCGATAATTAAAGCACGACCACTATGATTCATGTATGTTATCAACTATCGTTGTCAGATTTAATAATTAAAGGCAATGAGTTAAATGACGCCCATCTGACATGTTTTCTGGCTCTGCTATTTGTGTGTACTTTAATTATGATGATTCATAGAAAAGTATGTCCACTTTGTCTGCATCGTATTAATTCATATTTATGAAGAGACATTATGACAATTAGCATTTGATGTCATTTTTTAAAAGTCCAATATGCTGCAAAAATATGTTTAAGGTGTTCGATTTTATTGTGTATAAATAATGTTTGTTACCTTCATTATGAAACCACTTTAAGTTGAATGATGAAAAAAAAAGTTACCTTGCTGATACTCAATCACACAACCGTTAAATGAAAATGTGGTTTAATACTTCATCAGAAAAACTCCATTTACACCCTCTATGTGGCGGAATGCATAACTGTCGGAACATGAGTAATTTTTAGATTTAGCTTGGTCCTAATACTATATAGACAGTTGATTTTGAAGAGTTCTGATGTTCGCTATTTTCGGGAATGGAAAAAAATTGCGGAAAATAAATCAACTTTACTTTAAGAATATGATAGAAAAAAATAATCATACTGTAAGATGTTATATTTTCGAGAGTCTAAATTTTCGCATTTAGAAAAAAAAACCCTGTTTTAAAGACACTTGGTTTCATAGATAAATATAGCTCAATCAATCTACTTATATTTAATTTAACATTTCGTTCACGTACGAATTCATTGATGCGAAAATAAATCCTTACGAAAAGTAAAGATTTTTCAATGGTACTTTTCACGACAGCGAAGCTTTGGTTAACCGCAAAAATTGAACAATGAAAAATAAAAACCCATGCAATATACCGTCATAGAGCGAACGATATACCTTTGTACCAACTGACATTCAGAGCAAAAATATTTCAGCATACAATTTACACAGGCAAATATGAAGCAAAACGAAGCGCATACCCTATTGAAATGATGAAATCACAGACGTCATCACTTTACGTCAATAGTACAATGGATAAGACTTCGGGCTGCCTTCGTATGTGGTGGGAGCAATGAGTAGACGGTTAAGAGAAATACATCTCATGTTTGTGCCAGAAACGATCTATCTTCAGCTTCATCTATAAATTTTGCGATGTTCTAGAATATAGAATCAAGATAATTGACTGTAGCATAGTAAGACATTAAGTACAACAAAATAGAACCAAACAAATCACGAATTAAGATATTTAACAATAGAAAAGTTTCACAAATAGAGCAAGGTTGTACAATCAGGATATATTCGTAGATGTGGGCCGTGATGGATTGAAAACGACCGTTACTATTTTATTATTTGGAGGGATGTCAGATCGTGGACGTATTGAATGTTTTGATGAGGAAGGTATTCACCATTATGGTTTTCTTGGAAAACCAATATCTACCTATATTTACGACACAAACGTACCGAGATTTGAAATTGTAATCGGTATATCGAGAAAGATACAGTAGAGTAAGACATCCCCGGAGAATTATTCTCTAAACTATAGCATTGATCATTTCTGTTTCAGATCCCGATCACCAATAATCCTGAAAGAACTTGCCTTATATCAGTAAAACTTCATACATTTCCTTATGAAACTTAAAAGAACTACTCGTCATAGTCAATTATTTGTAGGGCGTCATTCAATAAACTTCCTCGTTACACTGAGCATCATTGAGTTATCTCCCTTCCCTCGATGTAACACTATAAACAAATACTTGATGTTCTTTTATCTTTATTTATTTACAATATCATGCAGGAAAAGCTTATGTTTACCTCTATTGTAAATAATGTCACTCAGTTTTCATTGGGAAAACGTTATAGTTGTATAATCAGCAGTGCATAAAGGTGAAAAAGGAATCTTCAAAAACATTTTTTTTTCGTATATCCAAATACCAATGTATTCAAAATGCAATCCACAGTGCTGACTATCTTAGAGCTGGACAGTACTCGGACTTTTCCGTCAACAGACGGATATAATTAACAAAAAAAACGTAACCAAGTAAAAATCTATATTTGTATATCCAATGCAGTTTTATCGCTTCTAATAATCATGTAATATGTCCCTTACCACGACACTAGCCAGAGATTATAACCCTTACCACGACACTAGAGATTATATCCCTTACCACGACAATAAGTAGAGATTATGTCCCTAACCACGACAATAAGTAGAGATTATGTCCCCTTCCATGATTACGTCCCCTACCGTGACACGACACCAACTAGGGATTATGTCCCCTACCGTGACACGACACCAACTAGGGATTATGTCCCCTACCGTGACTACGTGCCCTACCATGACATAACGCTTACTAGAGATTATGCCCCCTACTATGACATGACGCTAACGAGAGATTATGTCACCCATCAAGACAAGACGCTAACCAGAGGCTGTGTACCCTACCATGACTACGTCCCCTACCATGACAAGACGCTATCCAGGGAATGTGTCCCTACAATGACACGACGCTTACTAGAGATTTTGTCCCCTACCATGACACGACAAGTTAAGTAGCTATATATAGTGATGATGTCCATTACAATGATATATCCATTACCACGACACATCGACTGGTAATAATACAACATGTGCTCTCTTCCAGCTTATCATTGAACCTACTATTCTACATGTTGGTGATTTAGCTATGAAAAAACTACTCTACGTTTTTATTTTTATTTATGTATTTTTTTGTTTTTTGTTTTTTGTTTTTGTTTAAGAAAAAAGGGATGGAATTTGCAGATCTTCACACTGATCCAACGTATATGCTTCTATATTCCACTGCTGATCTTAAGAATATGGGGCTGACCACAATACAACACCTGTTTGTGATCAGTGATGGGTTATGGAAGGAGAGATTCATTCTACCACATTGCCTTTTTTACGGAAAGGAGTCGACATGATCGGACTGACGGAATGATCGTACGGAGATAGTTTCATCACAAAATTGACATAGATTAGGCGCCATGTGTTGTTTTTGACATTTTATAGTTAGGACAACGACTCATAACAAAGGCAATTTCACAATTGTATACCACTTATTCCCATATGAAATATGCGTTTGTGACATTCTACACAAAATTTCAGTATCAGATACAGAATAAAGTACATCGGGTTGCCCAGCAGGGAAACTTTATATGTTCTGTATGCAGTTGAAAAAAAGTGAAAGTGTTCATCGGAAACAAACGACTTATCAAAAGGTAAGATGCGATATTGAAAGTTTAAAGGGTTGTAGATAAGGTTTTATTTTTTTTGCGTAAGTGTTGTCAGAATGTTTGTCAGACATTATGTATAATTTGTTGTATGATATGGAGATATGTCTCTTTATCCCTTACATTGTTAACATTTCTGAACGATACTTCCGTTTTGATATCGTATAAAACTTAAATTGTTATAAATTTTGTATCAATTTTTTTCTCAGTAAAAATGACAAAAACACTTTCAGATCATAACCAATACCAAACAATGGCTGTTTAAGTGAGAGCTTTGTATAATACATGACCGATATTTCAAAATCGGTTAATAAAAAGGTTTTCTTTCCAGATTTTGATTATGGAAATGTACATGGTCATTGTTTTGTTTGTACTTGGTGCCCTTGTAATGGATGGTAACAACGTCAGTGCGTGCTTCTGTCCGAAAACTCATCCACAGACAGACTTCTGTCATCTCAGCAGCTTTTGTAAGTTGTAGTTAAGTTACTCCGCAGATAAAAACAAATCTTAAAGAGGCTTCAATGAAAAATATACATATAAATCTAAACTCAAAACGAAAACACAAACTTAATCAACAATGAAAACACGAATAAAGATAATTCGTAAGTCAACACAATATCAATCAAATTATATGCCATAACATGGGACAAAAATACAAAACATGTCATAGTGTCAACACACAACACATACAGAACATGTCATAGTGTCAACACACAACACATACAGAACATGTCATAGTGTCAACACACAACAAATACAAAACATGTCATAGTATCAACACACAACACATACAGAACATGCCATAGTGTCAACACACAACACATACAAAACATGTCATAGTGTCAACACACAACACATACAAAACATGTCATAGTGTCAACACACAACTCTTACAAAACACTTCATAGTGTCAACACACAACACATACAGAACATGTCATAGTTTCAACACCCAACACATACAAAACATGTCATAGTGTCAACACACAACAAATACAAAACATGTCATAGTGTCAACACACACATACAGAACATGTCACAAATGCCATAGTGTCAACACACAACAAATACAAAACATGTCATAATGTCAACACACAACACATACAGAACATGTCATAGTGTCAACACACAACACATACAGAACATGTCATAGTGTCAACACACAACTCTTACAAAACATGTCATAGTGTCAACACACAACAAATACAAAACATGTCATAGTGTCAATATACAACACATACAGAACATGTCATAGTGTCAACACACAACAAATACAAAACATGTCATAGTATCAACACACAACACATACAGAACATGCCATAGTGTCAACACACAACACATACAAAACATGTCATAGTGTCAACACACAACACATACAAAACATGTCATAGTGTCAACACACAACTCTTACAAAACATGTCATAGTGTCAACACACAACTCTTACAAAACATGTCATAGTGTCAACACACAACAAATACAAAACATGTCATAGTGTCAACACACAACACATACAGAACATGTCATAGTGTCAACACGCAATACATACAAAACATGCCATAGTGTCAACACACAACACATACAAAACATGTCATAGTGTCAACACACAACACATACAAAACATGTCATAGTGTCAACACACAACTCTTACAAAACATGTCATAGTGTCAACACACAACAAATACAAAACATGTCATAGTGTCAATACACAACACATACCAAACATGTCATAGTGTCAACACACAACAAATACAAAACACTTCATAGTGTCAACACACAACACATACAGAACATGTCATAGTTTCAACACCCAACACATACAAAACATGTCATAGTGTCAACACACAACCAATACAAAACATGTCATTGTGTCAACACACAACAAATACAGAACATGTCATAGTGTCAACACGCAATACATACAAAACATGCCATAATGTCATTACACAACAACTTCAAAACATGTCATAGTGTCAACACACAACACATACAGAACATGTCATAGTGTCAACACACAACACATACAGAACATGTCATAGTGTCAACACACAACTCTTACAAAACATGTCATAGTGTCAACACACAACAAATACAAAACATGTCATAGTGTCAACACGCAACACATACCAAACATGTCATAGTGTCAACACATACAGAACATGTCATAGTGTCAACACACAACACACAACACATACAAAATATGTCATAGTGTCAACACACAACGCATACAGAACATGTCATAGTGTCAACACACAACACATACAGAACATGTCATAGTGTCAACACACAACAAATACAAAATATGTCATAGTGTCAACACACAACAAATACAAAACATGTCATAGTATCAACACACAACAAATACAAAACATGTCATAGTATCAACACACAACACATACAGAACATGTCATAGTGTCAACACACAACAAATACAAAACATGTCATAGTATCAACACACAACAAATACAAAACATGTCATAGTGTCAACACACAACAAATACAAAACATGTCATAGTGTCAACACACAACACATACAGAACATGTCATAGTGTCAACACACAACACATACAGAACATGTCATAGTGTCAACACACAACACATACAGATCATGTCATGGTGTTTTTAGTTTCTGTCCGTTCATCGTAATGTATTCGAATTGGGATATTTAATTAGCTCTATATATTTAAAATCTACATGTTAGCATCCCTTATACTGATAATTTAACAGACGTCATTCTTTTTATCTGTCACAAATATTTCATTCATATTGACAATAAATACAATCTGACTGACGTTCAGTAGTAAAGTAAATACACTTCGCTACACGTACAGAAATTAAAAACCTTAAACGTTAGCATACAACTATAAATTATGATCTAAAGTTAGCACACAGTCAACTATAAATCAAACTATTAAGTCAGTATAAATCACGACAACGAGAGAGACTGTTTTACTTACTGTCGGACTCGGTAACTAGGATTCCATTGCGTGTCATGTTGATAGGGCGTGCGTAGAGCAAATCTTGAACAAGTTACGTTCAAGTTCCATATTACATTGAGCCTTTCGTCTTATTTGTTTAAAGTACAATTTAGTATATTTGAGTACATACCAATACCACCATAAGGCGCGTACCGTCCAGATATTGAACAGATCTCTTTTTCAGGTACTGCATTCTAAATTCAGTGTATGGGCAGATAATCTTATCTTTGTTAATTCATGATTTGAATTGATAGGCTTGGTCAAATGTTAGTATCCAAAACTTCGTAAATGTTTATATATAACATTCTAACATGGTTAGATGGTGCGTATTACATATCTATAGCATTGTTTTAAACAATTTTAATTCTATAATAGTGATTAGACATACAAATAATGCTGGGTGTTTATGTTATATGAACAGGTAACGAATTCAAGGACAAACTCATATATCTACTTAACGACTGAAAACAGGATAAATGGATTACAGAGGAACCACACATCTGTATCTATTGTGGTTAGCTTGAGCTATTTTATCCTTTTTTCGCTTGAAAAATAGAACTCGTTAAGACATATCTTATCGCTATGTTTTGTAGTGTCGAGAGATTATAAAGCACTACTTCTTTGAAATGCATGATTAAAGCAAAAAGAGGAAGAAGTGCTGTTCAAATTGCTCAAATGCCTTTTTATCAAACACAATAAATGGAAAACTACTTTTAGCAATGATGTTGACAAGGCCTCGATCCAACATTGATTTAGGATGTCGTTCACTTTTTTGGTACAATATTCATTTTGTAAATCAGTCCTTTGTATTGCACTGTTCTCGTTGCACGAAAATGAGAGTATCGACATATCAATTTAAAAGGCTACATTAATATGTTAATAACATATTTTCTCTCTCATTATCAGGTTCTACCTTTATTTCCAGACAACTGTCAGAAATCAAAGTCACAAATGGAATTTTAATGTTTCAATTAAGTGATGACGAGGGCAATCACATAATTAAGTAAAATTTGGTGATAGGCCAAAACGGCCATTAGAATCCATTTGATCATCGGACCTATCATACCTCATTTAGCTGACAGCAACACTCACACTCGCACTCACAAACACCAGGTTGTGGCACCAGGTTGTGGCACAGATTCTGACCACTTGAATCCTTACATAACAAAACTGTCCGTGATGAGTTGATCCTCGTGCTGTCATATTGTTTGGTCCAAGTTTCAAATAAAATTTGACATTAAATGTTCTCATAAGACTCAATATACACAATCATTTTAGGCCACAAAACATCCATTAGGGAAAAAACCGTTAAGTACAAACGAAGAAATAAAGGATATTCATTAACCTTGGAATATCATACCTAACAATTCTACGTTATAAAGCTTTGAGCACCAAGTTAGTTATTTACATAAAACACATTAATCAAGGAGTGATTTCTCGATAATTTGTCAAAACAATTCGTCCGGCATCACGTACTTTTCTCACTAATGTGAAGTAAGGTTACAAAATGTGTCAGAATTACATTATGTCGGCACCGTAATTCGGAACGCGACAAAAACACGACAGTGATTTTACACCGTTTGCCTCCCGATTGTGAATGATCATAAAAACAAGATCCTTCGAAAAGAAAACTATTTTATCCAGAAAAAAAACCTGTCAGCCGAAAAAAGGGGAAATCAAAAAGTGAATAATGAGAACAAATAATCAATGTCGGATCTGATGAGGCCTATGACCAAACCTATGACCACTGTTAGTTTTTAGAGCTGTAGAAGTGGTTTAAGTATAGTAAAAAGAAAAAGTCGTCTTGAAAAATGACTAATCAATGTCGCATGACCTATGAAAAATGACCACTGTTAGTGAATTATCTACAAATTTTGTTGACAGATGTTATCAGCAACGAAAAAACAGTTCAGTCGGACTCTTTGCAATCTGACAACAGATTTCACCAGTGTAGGAAAATGTAGAAATTAACAGCTCCATTTGGAAACGGTTTTGAAACAAACGTATCGATAACAACAGCAGTATTTAGAGGATGGCATTTTTTCTCTGTTTTTGTGTTTTTCTTGATAGCTCTCGTCGGGTACGTAAGCGACGTAGAAAACAGCAAACATGAGAGAAGGTTCAGGGTAATAATTCACCACCTGATGAAGGCAAGCAATTATTACTTTTATTATTATTATCATTATTTATTACATAACTTATTTTATTTATCAAACACATAAGTACTCTATAATTTGTTATATTTACTTACAAATATCAAAATATAAGCAGGCTTAGATGACGATACCAAACATCCAACATGTTTGCAAATATTTTTGACTAATGTGAATCAAATTCAAGAAGTGATATTTTCATATAAAATCATCTGTTTTGTGCTGTAGGCCCCTGAAGAATTCTTGGGCGAGAAAGAAATTCAGCTGATATCTCACAAAGGACAGTCATTGTGTGAGGCAGACTTCACTCCAGGAATCACTTATCTTATCACTGGTGTGTATCTAATGCAGAAATATATTTAGAGTAATGTTTGGCTTGTAATTTCTTGTTGTTGGGTAAAATCGTTAAAAAGATACAATGGAACTAAAACTAGATAAAAAAAAACTTATTTATTTTAATGATCTTGAAAACACATCTTTTTGCTTATAGTTTTTTTTGTAAAGTCACACATGGTACTTGCATTCATCTTATTTCACCTTCCATATTAGTTCATTAAAAGGAAAAGGACCAGAGTGAAAAGATGTTATTAAATGTGCATTTAGTGGAATTTTATTTTTATTGATATCAACGCATCGTATAAGATCATGGAAAGCATTATATAACATTAACAGCAGACATAATTGTAAGACAACTTGTATCGTAATCCCAAGTTAGGATATCTAGACGAAATATCAAGAGTTCAACTTATAAAGCTTTCAGACAGCTATTTCTATAATTTTGATATTAAAAAACCAAATCTTTGATGGGAATCGGTTTATTTGTTTTCTGGTATTTCCTTGATGACCGTTTAAATTTATCTCAATTAATTCATTTTTGTATTTCTAGGCTATGTGAACACTGACAATGAATACCTTGTGAATTCCTGTTTGTGGACAGAAGATTTTACTTCTTTGTCACACAACAAGTTCAGCGGCCTTCTTGGAGACTACGACTGCAGCTGTTATGTAAGTCGTGTGCAATAGATATGCTTAAAAAAGGGGGGCATGGCATCAATTTCCAACACTTGTGGCCATGCGGTCACGTGACGATAATATTGTCATTTTCGAGAGGCTTTAATTTTCGCTATTTTTGAGAATGGATGAAAATTGCTAAAAATAGAAACTAAAATGAAATAAAATTACCTCAGAAAACACTTATTTTGGTGGAATCGAGATGGTGCACAGAGGAAATCGTTATAAAAAGGGATATTTATAATCCCTTTCAATATTTATATGTTTTCTGTTAACACTTCGTAACAAATATAAAAAGATTAATTATTGGTCGGGAGAAACTATTTATAGGAGAAGAAATACACTGAAATGATCCGCTATAGGAACAGGAAAGAAGGTAAAATATATGCAAGAAGAGATGATTCATTCGGGCATGATTAGTGAGCTGGTGTGTTGTTATTATATGCGACTTATCAATGGGCATGAGATAATTAGACCAAAACAGATGCATGGCAGTTATGCAAAAGCGGCGACTGTTGTGCAAGCTCTAGACAAAAATGAGTTAAATTCCATCATAATCAAGATTATCTTTATACCGAGTTTGTAACATTAAAACGTTTTCAAATGTTTTGTTTTCATCCGTTTATTTTAGATAAATGAAACATGGGAACTGTTACCATCACAAGTCACATCTCGTGACGTTTGTAACTACGACAAAACGAATCCATGTGAGCTTGCAGCATGCCTGAGAAACGAGGAAGGCACATGCGAGTGGATTCTTGACTGTTTCGATCAAAAGAGAGCCACCCTGGATGTCCTCGCATTGAAAAGGAAAATCCACAAGGAACTAAACGAAATCTTGTGAAAGAGAAGAAATATTCGATATATTGCAATTTTTGTAAAGTTTTTTCAATCCAGTTCTTCGTTGTTAGATTTGTGATGGGCAATCAAAAACTATACGATCACTGCTGTACACGTATCGTTAGGGCAAGTGAGCTTAAGCCATACTGTTGATGCCTAGCAACATTGCATGCTAAGCGAATAAATATGAAGTGTATAAAGGACAGTGACTTTCTTTTCATTTCAAATAAGGGATAATCTTATCTAAATCCAACCATGACAGACAGAACATTCTGCAACATCTCTTTGAGTACTGATTTTGTAATACACTGTTCACAATGAAACGCCAGATCATGACAAGGCAATGCTGCTGAAATCTGCTATAAAACCAACTATCTTAATTCGTATTGTCATCAAACTCACAATTTCCTTTATCTTATAATCTCCGTCAATGCAATGTAAAAACAGATCACATACCAATCTTTTACTTATAAGCATACTGATGAGTATACATTTCTCATACACTTCGAGAGCATGTAATTTCCTCAACAGAAGAAAATTATTAAATCAAGTGAATTACATTATTAAGCTTACATCTCGTTATGCTGACATATATCTTTGACGATTATCTCTGTTAACAGAACTAAGTAATAAAGTGGACAAATCATATTTAGTGAGAGCTTGATTGCTTTATTTGATAATTGTCTTATACACATCCAAGATTCTACCGATTTTATTTTGATTACTTTCAAAGATTTGATGTCTAATCAGCATCCCAAGATTTAATATCAAATCATCATATCCAATCAGCATCCACGATCTCTGTTTATCATCCAATCAGCATCCCAAGATTTAATATCCAATCAACATCAACGATTTCATATCCAATCAACATCCAAGATTTTATATCCAATCAGCATTCACGATCTCTGTTTATCATCCAATCAGCATCCCAAGATTTAATATCCAATCAACATCAACGATTTCATATCCAATCAACATCCAAGATTTTATATCCAATCAGCATTCACGATTCATATCCAATCAGCATCCACAATTTCATATCCAATCAGCACAAACAATTTTTGTCAAGTTTGTATTCAAAATTTTTGCGTAAAGTCAGATGAAGTCTAGATGTCTAATACTGTACTGCAGTATAAAATGCAAATAAAAGAATAACAAAAAAATCAATATCCCACAATCTTTATTTTATCAAAGATTATCGTGACCTCCTTAATTCACATTATCCAACTTACCGTGTATCTTTATAGGTATTTATTTTATATATTAAATATCACAGCTATACTCCACATGAAACATTTACAAACAAACATACAGAACATCACCAACAAAATGTATGAATCATTCACACATCATTTCATAGTCATTTCCATTAATCTCCTCAAGATGTTTTTCCTGATGATTATAATCATGATATCAATCGGACGACTTGGTCTGGTGTGCGTGGTACTATGCTGGATGAGTCCTTATATTCATTTGCTGGGTTACAGATGGCATCGTAAATCTGTTTGTACGCAGCACAAATCAAATCAGATGAATTCTTTTTGACCTTTTCTCTGTAAATTAAATAGGTTCTTTACTGGATAACTTATTAGTGATTAGATCAAATACCCTAAACTGAATAGTTTTCAGATATGTCTATCTAAATGAGATCAAATTATCATTAGAAACCCATTAGCTCGCTATTCAGTTAATAAAAAAATATGTAACTATTAAGTGGTATGAGTTTTATTATTTCTTGTACTCTGTAGTCTCTACTCAAAGGCAGCAGTAATATATTGTGTTCCTTAGACATGCGACATTTAACCTATGAACTCCACAACCACCCTGGAGGAGTCTACTCTGAGAAAAGAGTAAGGAGTTGGGTGATCTATACCATGTGATCTACCTAACTCGTCCACTAAGTAGGAGTCTGCTTTACGACAGAAACAACAAGTCAATTGATCTATACTACATGACCTATCGGACTCATCCACTTATTCGGTGTCTACTTTGAGACAAAATCATTGTGTCAGGTTATCTACTTCCAGTGACCTACCTGACTCGTCCACTTAGTAGGAGTCTGCTCTGAGGAAGCACTAGGGAGTCGGGAGAGGCCATGTAACTATCAAACTTTGACTGGAAAAGGAAAAAGTTCAAATTCAATTCAAATCTGATTTTCTCTCAGTATTTGTTATAAAACGCTCAGCAAATGATACAAACATCAAATTTCAATTTGATTCGATTTCATTGAATAGTTTTAGAAGTCTTTGCTCATACATCTTACTTTAAAACAACAACAGTACAAGGTTTTGAAACAAGTTTCTACTGTTCAAAATGGTGATTTTTTTTCAGTAAATAGTGTACTTCTAAGTACCAATAAAACGTTTGATTGAAGACAAAGAAATCTCTTTGCTTTGTGACCTTTGAATAATTTCTGATATTAAATAAAGTTGTAAAGCTGTGCATTGATACATGTGTTTCAATGTATCATTGAATTAACATTTACTGTCAACTAAATGATAATAAATACATATTACATACTAAAAACTTTCTACATTAAACAGAAAATAATTTGATATAGGAGATGTACTATTAAAAACAGCTTTTACTGAATCACGTCAAAATCTCACCATGGCAGATTTGAGTGATGGTCCGTCCAAATCAGGCTGGGAGGACAAAGGGCCCTTAAACAAATAAACAGAGACCGATGAACTTCATGCTAAAATTAACCTTGGCTTAAAATGTCACAGATGATCTCAGTTAGAGTAGCAATGAAAAATAATTTAAGTAGATAATTACATCTATTAACAACTGGATGGCTGAGTCCTTAACATATTACTGTTACCTAAATTTAAAATTCAAATTTGTTCTAGCAACATTCAGCCTTTGTATAATCAAGTTTCAAAACAATATACATTTTTATCATTTCATGTAAAACCCTGACTTCGCTAGTATCTGACTCACAAGGTTGTTAGAATATCTATGATAGCCTTATATACACAAAAAGATAATAATATTACCTGTTTAGGTTGATGCTGTTGGACTGTCCCGTACACAATGGCCAGACCGACCTTATTGAGTACAAAGGAGGCCTGTTCACTGACCAGGGTATCTATCTGGGCATCAACCTTATCAATAAATAATATCATAATCACAGAAACAAGTCACCTGTATCATACCCCAGTTGTTCAATACTTCAGAACACTGTCAAATACAGAGTTTTATAATGACACGTCAAAACACACTGCAACACTTCACGATTCCTTATAAATTTTATCAAAACAGTTTGCAAAAACATTAATTATTATGTTAACCATACTGGAGAAGACATACTGCATATAATATACAACAACAGGCAGATCTGCAGAAAAAATTTTCAACTCTGAGCGAACTTCTCACTTTTAACACGTGTATGAGACAAGTATCATATGAAGGATATCATCAGTTCTACAGCAGTTATAGCTGGTGTAATCACAAACCTGAGCCTGAAGCATCTCAAGTCTTGTGTCGGTGAACTCGTACAAAGCCAATGTAGTCTGCATCAAGTATATACAGTTGGCCATATAGGCAGCCATGTCAGTTGAGTTAAGACGACTGGCAGAGACAGAGCACATCTGAACCAGCGGGTCAATCACACAAGACAGGATCTACAGCCACAAAAATCTAAGATCAGAAATTGTGTATGCTGATATCACAAACTTTCAATAAAATGGACTGTAATTTGATTACCCACTTGTTTTAATCCTTTGTGTGACTGATTGAATGAATGAATCATTTATAAATTTATCTCTTTCTTATAAGTGATTTCTAACTCTTAGGCAATTAGTCTTCATAAATGCTCCTTTGCTCGATACCTTTTTTTAAAGATTTTCAAATGGCATCAATTCACAATTAAGATTCTATATCGATGTCATTCTTTTTCATGTATCATATTTTCTGGGTAATAAGCCATATAAACCACAGAGCCAATTTTTATCACTTTTTTCCATTTGATCCACATACAAGAAACACCCTTTCTTACCATACTTGGTCACTATTTTGGTTGTTTGATATACTGGTAACAGATAATGGACGACAGTTCTTACGAAGTGGTAACAGTTACGGTGACCAAAGTTTGTTGACGTAACAGAAAATGGAGGACAATTTATCAGAGAAACATTTAAAAGTTTGCAAATGAATTATACACAGATAATCCTTTATTTTTGTTATGTAGTTTAAAAAATGTAAAAAAAAAGCAAATATCAAAACTCGTTTGGCTTGGGTGCCTTCACAGATTGTCTTCGCACAGATATAGGTCCTGACATTACATATGGTTTACTAAACAATCTCTCCATCGGTGTCCACACTATTAAATATTACAGAGGCCCTTGCATGCTGACCAAGTTCTAATAGTTCCCTATTATTTCTTCTTGTAGTTACACAATGCCATTCTTATTGTAAATAAGCATGGGGGTAATTCTAGAATTTGACCTATAACCAAATGACCTATCGATCCCAGGATGCAAAAGGCTATTGTAAACTTCTGCTACGACTTCCAAGAAACTGCGAAAGTCCAGAAGATAATATTGTGTTTCATATTAAAAGATATGATTAATTAAACCCAGAAGAATGTTATTTTTATTTCAATCTTCTAATCAGCCTGTATACTCTTGCAAATGACACTTCTAGACGATCTGTTTCAGTTGTGAACACATGACGGGCAGGTAAATCTCAGTACCTTCTCTAATCCTACAATGTTAGAGGTTTTATACAATGAGAAATTTATGACAGGTGCCGTGTATAAGCTGTACGCACAACTCACATGGGAAAAATGTTGCGGCTTATAATCCAGAAAATACAATAATTGTTTTTTTCAAGATTTTTTGTAAAAAATACCAAAGACAAATGCCACAATTGAATCACAGAACAAGCACCTGTTTGTAGTCTTGTTTCTTGTCATCTATAGCAACAACAGATGCATCATGACAAGCAAGTACATCTTTCAACAACTGCAACGTCTGATTCAAAGAGCTTGTAGGACCAAGATCAGAAGGAGGTAACTCCACCTGAAAATAAAATGTCAAGATTTTCATCACTTCACAAGATATCTAAATTATAAACAAAACAAAATTTATCATTTCTTAAATAATAGAATTGCAATATATGTATGGTAGAATGCTTTTCATTTTGAACTGGCAGAACACATTCATATTAAAGTTTTTTTTGTTTCTAATTCTAAAGGCTTAATTTTCAGAATTAACAGAACTGGTAACACTCTCTGTTGTTGCAGTTTGGCATATTTGACCCCTGTGACTTTGAAGAAAGTTTAAGGTCATTCATTTAAACAAACATGATAAACCTTCATCCTAGCATTAAGGCCCAATACCCTGGGCTTTTGGTTATTGAGAAGAAGTTGTTAAAAGATTTTGACATATTTGATATATGTGACCTTGAAATGAATTGATAGTTCAAACCTAGTGCAACCTTTTGTTACAATTCAGATCATTCAAACACATCAAGTTAAAAACTGTTAATTAATGATAGGGCTCTCGGAGTCAATAATCATCCTTGTGACCACAACTCACGAAGTTATGCGATGTCCACACAATCACAAACCTTATCAAGGAGTTTGTTGGCATTACAGTTGAGGCTATTGAAGAACATTCTGTGACTGAGGTCCTGGATCTCCGATACAGTATTCAGCAAGGCTGCTTCCTTACAAATGATCTGACTGGAAGATAAGAAATGATAACAAAAATGAATTTATTTCAAAAGTTTGTTTAACACATGTCCTAACTTTAACATCAGTGGGGACGGAGCAAAATTTTAAGTCTTACATCAGAAAAATAAGAGGAAAATAGAGATCATGATGACCTATTAACCTTAACATATGGGTCGGTCTGGTATAATGTATGACAGATGTTGTATTTCAACAGTTAGATGAGTATGAGTCGGGTGGGCAAAGCAATATTAAAGCCTCCCATTGTCATGGTGGATTTATGATTAAACTGATCCAGTTGGAGCTTTGGTAGAACTGACCTGATCGTGTTGTGATAGAACTTGAGGAGATTGTGTAGTTTGTAGAGAGTGACAGCATCCTGTTCTGATACTAACACCTGTTCAACTCTCACCTGTATAGAACAAATATAAGACAACCAATCAGACTGCAGTGGTTTCATAGTACATGATGCTAGAAGAGCTCCAAGGCTACACTTTCGGATTATGATGGTATAACATGAAATTTGACACAACACTGACATGGGCGAAGATTCGTGTTTGGTACAGAACACACAATTTATTATTTAAAGTCTTTACATACAAACCTCCAATGACAAACTGTACCTGTATCCTGACAAGCTTTTGACACACTGTTATGATCTTAATATTGGTGAAAAGTGGCTTTTTGTAATACTCTTTGAAGATTTTCAAATATTTTTCACTAGTAATCTAACATTTGATCCCTTGCAAAAAAATTTTACCTTAGGTATAAACAAAATCAATTTTGTAAACAAAGCTAACATCAACAAAGCTTTTACAGTTTTTAAATGACTTTAGATTTAAAAAACAACACCTTCAGAACAGTACCCTGTTGCTATAGTGATAACAATTACCTTGAATGGACGACACACCCCTTCTGTAATATGACCCAAAATATCCTGCACCTGTTCTTCGTTGGCTGTAAAATAAAATATGACATGAAAAAGACTTGCAGCACTTCTAGATTCTTGATATTTGATGTGAAATAAAATAATATTTTAGAAATAAAAACTTAAAAGGAGAGAAAATTACACTACAGCAGGGATTTTATAAAATCTATGTAACATTTTGACTCACTTTTGCTGAGGTTAACAGATGATAGGATAAGTCTCAGTTAGACAAATATCCAAAAAGATTACTTTAAGGGAGAGTCAATAGTAATAAGGATATGTTTAAAGTGGATACCAACATTGACATTTCTTCAGCAGGGACTGGAGGTGTTCCTTCTCTGATGCTGCTGCTTGATGAAGCCATGCCAGCATGTCCCCTACATACCTAGTGGGGTCATGTGAGTGCAATTCTATGGGGCGGGGCATTCCTCCAGGACCTGAAAGAGACAAAATACAGAACTCTGATATTCATGTCACAAATGCTGAAATCATGTACAAGTAATAAAGGATTTGTATAGCACAGTCAATATCAAATATCAAAGTAAAAAGAAATGTTGCCTCAGTGAATTAATTTGATAAAGAATTTCGGATATCCTCCACAACTAAAAAAAATGTGAAGAACATTATCAACTATCTGGATTATCATTGAAATTCCAATTTATTGGTCTAAATTCACAAATTACATCAAATCTATGTACACTGGGAAGAACACAGTTATGGTAATCACCTTAATAAGCATGATTATCATTGTGCAACATGTCCTTGACTTACCTCCCCTTGTCAAAGCATCTATAAGTCCACGAACCACAGCAGTCCTCCTGGCAGTACCAAACTCATCTAATGTATACCTGCACAAAAACAACAGATAGTGATATAACGTTTGTAGATTGAATTGAAAATGAGTAAAAAATATATTTCCCATGAAAAGTATTTATCAGGAGAAACACATGATTCACTTATATTTGGCTGTAATTTTTTTTTCCAAGTCACAGAAGTTATTTTTCAACATCAACTTAGTTCTACACCTTTCATATAGGCTTTTGTTTTGTTGGATCTACCACCTCGTTAACAGACAAGATCACTGTTAGGCAGAGTCTCCTTGTAGTATCTTGTGACTACCTCACTGAACAACATACAGGAGGCCCATCACATGCTGTTCAGAGCATTAAAGGTAAAGTGTCTTGCCAATGAATAAAGCAAAGACTATATTGTTTCTCAAGCATTCTGAGAAGCACAAAAAGCCTCTAAACTTCACCTGCTGTTATGTAAGTGAATGCATGACCAACTGAGCAATCACAGCCCCCTTTCCATATAGGACAGTTTTTGTATTCTTAACATCTATATCAACGGATAACAATTTAAAGTAATGTAAACAATCTATATAGTTCCATTACATCTGACAAACGTAAATGTTTAAGATTGTTAAAGGGTCCTTTATTGTACTTTTGTATGCAGTGCAGATATATACTCAATTCTTGAATGTAACCCAAACAACATGAAGTCATTCAAAGATGCTGCTTGCATTTTAAATTTCACAAATTTTGGTAACATAATTTATATAATGGCTGAATAACATAACAAGAAACAGAAAGAGGAAGATTTACAAACAAGACTGGAATAATTCAGTCTCAGATTACACATGCTTCCTTCATAAAGAGAATTTCTAACCTGAAAAGGACAGGTCTATCTTCAAGGGCTTCCATAGCCTGGCACAACATTGATGACATATCGGGAGAATCACCTGTTAGCAGCCGACATTCATCTTTAAACAGAAACACATTCTTTTATAGGCAAAGGTTACAGCAATGAAACACCTAAGTAATATTATGTAATAATGTTGATGGTAAGTTATTTCTAAAATATTTTATAAAACTATATGGTTAAGAAACCCAAGAATTTATTGTATGATTAAAATGAAATTTAATTTAATGATATGCAAACATTTTGAAAAAAAAAAATTTCTTACTTGCTTTTTCAACATATTCTACCTAAAGGTATATTTTGGTTTCAGTTGTCTCCCTTGCTTTGTGCAAAATTTGTAAAGATAGGGTATACATTGACAACACTAAATAAACTTACTTTGGGCCCACCTGTACAGCCGTTCATATGCAGATTCCTGATGGAGAGCCATAGTTTCCATAATTTCTAGTCTATAAAAAATTATGCATGGTGAGTGGTAGATATAAAATGACATTACATTGCATTCCCATAATTTTAGAGAGTAATGGTTGCTGCAAAACATTCATTTTTTAATACCTTTCAAAATAATGAAATTACAGGTACAACAACTATGAAAATCCTTCTGTCAAATATTCACAAGAAATATTTTGATTCTGTAAGCTATACTGTATAGCAATCATCACAATGAGATTATTAAAGTAAAGTTTAGAACTTGTATTCATAAAACATGGCTACAGAGTCGAATAATCTTCATATTTCTCTTTGTTTCTGTATACAATATCACTCTTTTGTAGAAATTGTTACCATCCTCATTTACATAGAAAATAATTAATGAAAATAATTTTGTAAATTTCCCTTGAAAATTGGTAGAGGTCCATATTTCAATGTTTTGTTTTTAGTAGTCATTTACCCAGCAGTCTGTTGGTTTGTCCTTAGTAGAATTTTACAGTGCTTGTGAATTTCTTTTGCTTTAGCCAATGCCCTGAAGAAGTCCTACAAAATAAATAAATATGGACAAAAACATATTTAATGTTTTCAACATGTTACTAAAATATAACACATCTTAAATTGCAAAAAGAAAGATGGTGGTTGCTATGGTTGAAAAATAAACAAACAAGATATCAAATACATCTGAAATTATTTTACAAAGAAAATGCTTTATAAGGTAAATGCAGACTTTTCTGTTTAATTCATAAAATTTATTTAGAGTCTAAAATGAATGATAAACACACCATGTGTAATGTTCCATCTCGACTCCCTCTCAACGCTGTAGCCTCCTCAGGCTTCAGTTGGAATTTCTCTAAAAATGCATCTGCCACCTGGGCCTTAACTTGCAGAGTTTGACTACAAAGATGTAAAAGAGATCGGATTTTAATCTAATTTCTATTAAGTTTTCTACATAAAGATAATTTTCTATTAAGCAATAAATAAGTATTCAATTATATATACATGTAGGTATTTTTTTTTTTATTTTAGCCTACTCTAATATTTTCAATAAAATAATTTTCACAACACTTAACTTTGTACACAAAACAGATATTGAAGCTGAAGAAATCTGCCTATTGCCTTGATATCAAATATCTTTTTTAAGATATTCAATTTGAAACTGATATGTTATCAACAGGAGTAGAATTGAAAAAAAATAAATTTCCATTGATCAACAATTAAACTAGTTACTGGGAGTAGTGCAAAACAATATTCAGTCTACAGCATGAAATTCAGCTTTTAGAAATAATGACTATCTTGTGAAGGTCATGAATTTTATGTACAATGTTTTACTTAGTACCTATGTTGTCATTGTTGCGTAAGGAGATTTAAATATAAATTTGTACACCAACCTTTCTGATTGTAACTTGGTAGTTTGATTAATCAAGTCATGTGTTTGTTCTTTAGCAGCCTGAAATGAATAAAAACATCTGTATTGCCTACATTTGCAGCTAAAACTGTAAAGAACAGGATAATCTTAACTCAAGTCGTGATAATATCTTGCTTGAACGAGCAGAACCAGCTTGTGACAGAAAATAACAAGGCAGAAACCAATAGCAGCTGCAGAATGTGGTTTTGTTCCAAAAAAATCCATAGCAACTACAGCTAAGCGAGAAAATATTTCAAATTTACAATGAAATGTACCATGAAATGATTATGTAGATGCTGATAAAAGTAAAAGATTGTGAGCAGGTGGTTGATCTTTGGTTCACCATGACAAAAGAGAGAACAATATAACCATAGCATCTTCAAATGGTAGAGATACGGTAAGAGAACCAGAAAGTCTGAATGTGTTAAAACTTGAGGGACACATTGGTTTTATCACTGATAAACAACAATCATCACAATAAATCACAACTAACCGATATGTTATCATTGATATGTAATGACACAAGAGTATTATTGATCATCTATCACATATCATATGTACAGGTAATTTTGTTTTATTGTTTAACAGTAATGACCAAAAATATATAATCCGTCTTTAGGCTTCCCTCTAGCATTGTAGCATACCTTGAGTCTGCTTGTCATGTCCTGACAGCATTCATTCATGGACTTAACATCATTATAGACACTGTCCAGTTGCTGAAAACATATAATTTTACAAATTATCAAATTTTCATTGAAAAAATATCAGTTCAATGATAATACAAACAATTCTTCTTTGTAAAATAATAAAATGTTATCAACTTTTTACTTTTCCCTCTTTCATATATTGTATTCTATTGTATATAAAATAACTGACTAAAACACGCCATCCGGAAACAATCATTGACTTACTTAGAAATATATATATTCCTAAATCCAAATTCTAACCAAAACTTAAATGGGAAACTTGTATAAAAAGTGAACATTTCTTTTTACTTACATAATTAATTAAACTAATTTAAGGCACCCAAAGTCAGGTGTTAATCCAAAATTGTGAAAACTAATCCGGCTAACAAATTAAAATATGTGCGTACACAGAATTGCTCTTATTAACAGAAACAAAATAAAGCAATTGACTGTGTAGATCCATTGATTCAAGGCCTGTTTTTAAAGAACTGCTAACATAAAATCTGAGTCAGTTAAGAACACTTGGAAAAGGCCTTGTAAAGATATATCAGTTTGAAGTGATATTTGCTTCCATAAAGAAATAAAGACTATAAATTACTGCTAATTTATATGATTTCAGTTTTTACGAGTGTTATGTATTTCCTTGTTAATCTTGTAATTAAATTGTGATCATTCAACCTTCCTTTACTTTTATACAGGGCATTTTATGGATTCTGACGACCAATCCGCAATTTATTTTTGTCTTATTGCACCAAAATATACAATCGCTGATACAAAGTCACAACCCTTTGGACTAGTTAACAAGTTTGCAGTTGATCATTAAGTTTTGGATGAAAATATTTAAGTCCTGGATTAATGCTTATCCATTGGGACTCATCCAAATTTCGGGAACCCACTTTATCTCCAAGTAATGGAACTCGTAACCCTACAAAAACCGCTGTATATATAAATACAGAAAGTACCTCTTTCACAGACTGGAATACTTGTAGGAAGTCTTCATTTATCACTAAACTCCTGCGTTCAATATCACTTCTTAGATTTCTTCTTGTTCGCAAACTATTCTCACTGAAGAAGACTGATAAAGCCTTCAGTGCTTCAAGCATTTCCTGGGGAAAAAAGTTAAAAATAAAACAAGATATCATGAGTTATTATATAATAAACACACGCTAAGATAATTATTTACAATGGTGTTTTCGTCATCTCTCACGGAGTTTTATGCTATATGTAATGTGCATTTGCCTATTAAACAGGACATGCTACAGACAGATTAGTTAAATATCAGTAAGTTGTTTCTCCACCCAGATCTGTATAGATTCTTAACATAACAGACGAATACATAAGCTTGTAATGCTAATGTGAAACGTCGTAGTTACTTTATCATTGTCCAGCCGAGTCTCCAATATTTTGTTAAGCTTCCTAGACAGCGGGTTTGCATTTTGAGATGAAGAAAATGACGTGTCGGACTGTTCCTTGTCAGCCATTTTGCTTTTTCAATGTACTTTGAAAGCTCTGTATTTATCTTCCATGGATTAAGCGCACAAGTGATCTGTATATGTACGTGCATAATAGATATAGATCGAATCAAAGTACCGGACCGGATCTGTTTAATAGATTGAATTTATACTTATTTTTGCACTAAATTTCAAGCATTTATACATAACTTAACCACGGTGACTGACAGGAAATTTCTATTTAATCACTCATCTTTCAATCAATTTTGATGAACACCTTTCTGAAACTAAACAATTTCAGTGTTTACTTTGTAAATAGCAATTATTGATATAGCAATGTTGATAAAGAACTTAATGACATTGATGTAAGATTTCTTATTTATCAAATAAGATATCATCATCTTATTTGAGTATATTGTGTAGGAAGCCAAACTGTCATCTATTTATGGAGCAATGTTGATCCCATATAAGTACTTGACCAAATTAGACAAGGTACATGTATCTACCTCAATGAAGATAATTTCTTAAAGCTTCCGAGATATCTAATTTACTTAATAAAATATTTTCTTATTTAACAAGATATCTGATTGATTAAATAACATTTATTATAAAGTAAGTTAAATAAGATATCTAATTTATACTAAATACGATATCTACTGCAGTAAATACCTGTAAGATATATTATAAAGAAAATTTAATAAATTCTATGTCAACTTGCACAAGATACCCAAATTAAACTTTGATAAGAAACTAACAAAACTCAAATCACTCATTACTACATGGAAAAGAAGAATTTTAACACCAATAGGTAAAATTAACATGATCAAATCAATACTAATTTCACAACTTAATCACTTATTCATTGCACTGCCAAATCCAGATGACAGATTTCTTTCAGAACTTAACTCCATGTTATATGAGTTTTATGGGATAGTAAAAGAGATAAAATTAGAAGGGATATTGTAATTCAGGATTACATTAATGGTGGGATCAAAATGGTAAATGTTAAAGCATTTATAGATTCACTTAAATTAAGTTGGATCAGAAGGGTTTTTCAAAGTTTGTTAAAATGGCAAGCTATTTTTAAAACATATGTAAATGTAGATTTATTGGCTAACTGTGGAACAGACTATATTCATTTTTGTAAAAGTAAATGTAAAAATAAATTTTGGATTGATGTTTCAAAAGCCTGTCAAAATTTGTATGCTGCTAGTGATGGGAATATAGATAACAATGAAGTTTACTTGAAAACCCCTTTATGGTACAACAATAAAAGAATTATAGACAGAAAATCAGTATTCATCAAAGGCTGGTATGACAGAGGAGTTATGATAATAGATGATCTGTTAAAAGATCATCATTCTGGTGGATTTTACACTTTCCATGAATTCACTCATGTATATCAGGTACAGACTAATTTTCTTCAATATCATAGTGTTCTTTCTGCAATCAAGAAACATAACTCTAATCCTGTTTTTCCGTGTTCAAACATTTTACTTCCAACTATTCATTTACACTTAGAATTAATTTTAAGAATGTCTAAAGGTTCTAAACACTTTTATAAGATTCTTATAAAAAACAATGTAGTACCTTCAGGTCAGAAAAAATGGAATAACACTTTTAATATAAGTAATTCCACTTGGCATCAGATATTCAAACTTCCTTTTCTGATCACTAAAAGTACTAAACTTCAATGGTTTCAGTGTAGAATTAATCATCATATTCTGACTACAAATTCCTTCCTGTTCTAAGCACGTCTAGTGGTATCTCTTTTGTGTATACTTTGTAATTCTGAAACCGAAACAATTATTCACACTTTATGGGAATGTCAGGAGGTCCAAAATCTCCTCGCCTGTTTTGAAAGGTTGTTAGATATTCTTACTATTCCTTTTAATTTTAACAAAGAATCTTATCTCTTTGGATTTCTTACGCAAGATTTGAATAACAGTAAGATTGATTATGAAATACTTCTTATTATTAAACAAAATGCGATGTCTTCATAAATCTTTGAATGTAAATGCATTAGTGAACACAATTAAGGATAACTATAATGTTCAGAAGTATACAGCAGTAAGTAAAGGTGATGCTGTTAAAGAAAGATTCAATAAGGAATGGAAAAAATGGGGAAAACTTGTTAGTCTATAGTTTGTATATGTTCTATGATTATGATTAAATATAGATAGCGCCTGACATCCATGTTTATCTTATCTATTTTACTCTCAATCCCCCTGGCCTGGAGAAATGTTCTCTCTCTCTCTCTCTCTCTCTCTCTCTCTCTCTCTCTCTCTCTCTCTCTCTCTCTCTCTCTCTCTCTCTCTCTCTCTCTCTCTCTCTCTCTCTCTCTCTCTCTCTCTCTCTCTCTCTCTCTCTCTCTCTCTCTCTCTCTCTCTCTCTCTCTCTCTCTCTCTCTCTCTCTCTCTCTCTCTCTCTCTCTCTCTCTCTCTCTCTCTCTCTCTCTCTCTCTCTCTCTCTCTCTCTCTCTCTCTCTCTCTCTCTCTCTCTCTCTCTCTCTCTCTCTCTCTCTCTCTCTCTCTCTCTCTCTCTCTCTCTCTCTCTCTCTCTCTCTCTCTCTCTCTCTCTCTCTCTCTCTCTCTCTCTCTCTCTCTCTCTCTCTCTCTCTCTCTCTCTCTCTCTCTCTCTCTCTCTCTCTCTCTCTCTCTCTCTCTCTCTCTCTCTCTCTCTCTCTCTCTCTCTCTCTCTCTCTCTCTCTCCCTTCCTTTACTCTATATAAAATGTTTTTGAATCTATTTTGTTTTGTCTGTTTTGTCTCATAGTGTGATGGTGTGTGATATGTGTGAATGTTTGTGTAGAACTAGATTAATCTTCATTACTTGTAGTCTGGTACATTACTAATTAGGTGTTTGTGCAGGCATGCTGATGATGTGAGAACTTAAGATGATTCATTAATAAATACTACTATGATGATAAAGTCTCATTACTTATAATGTATGCAGGATGAGGATGATGACAATGATGTAATTGTATACATGATGGTGGTGAGGATGGTGATTTGGCTAGTGTACATTATGAAGATGTTTTGATGATGATGTACATGGTATGCATGATAATGGTGATGATGATGATGATGATGATGATAAAGATAATGATGTATGGCATGCATGAAGATGTATATGTCATTGATGATGACGATGAAATTGATGATGATAATGATGTACATGGCATGGATGATAATGATGATGTACATGACATGCATGATGATAATGATGAAGAGGGAGATGATGTACATGGCACGCACGATGAGGAGGAGGAGCGTGATGATGATGGTGATGATGGTGATGTACATGGCATGGACGATGATGATGATGATGATGATGATGATGATGATGATGATGATGATGTATCAGCTACTGTATTCTATAATACATATGAATGTGTTTGGAAGTTTTGTGTGGTGATGTATTGTTGTTATATGTTTCTGTAATTTTTAAAAATCTGGAAAAATAAAAAAAAAAATACAAAAAAAAAAAAAAAAAAAAAATTATTAATAAGACATCTAATTTCATTACATATGATTCTAATTTGTTTAAAAAAAACACACACAAATGTATTGTTTTGCACATAAGATACAATTATTTAACAATATACATATACAGGTGCAGTTTAACTGGTATTTTTCTTCTTCTGTAATTGACAAGACTAATTTATTTTTTCACGAAAAACACAAACGCATAATATAGTGTGACTTTAATCCCAATGATACAGCGAAAAGTAAAGGTGATATTACATGTTTTATTGTGTTGAAATGTTGTATTTACAATGTTGATTTCTTTTTTCATGTCAGTCTATTTTGAGGATTAGAAACAATGTAAAAGCAATATGCATGTAAAAAAACTTTTATCTGAAGGTAAAATAAAAATCGAATTTATCATACCATGTATTGATAGGAGATTAGCATATCCTTAGTCCTCAACATGAAGAATATACTTTCTTGAAACAATTAACTTTCTTTCTTTCTTTTTCTTTCTTTCTTTCTTTCTTTTATTTCTTTCACAAGATTCTTAAATATAATGCGAGACACGATGATGATAATAATGATAATAATATACTGGACGCAGGCTTATTAAGCCTATATATTCAGATCAGAGTTAAAGTGAATTAGTATCCCGAATACGGATCAGTGTGTTATTGTCTACTTCATGATTATAAACACATTCAGTTTGCCTCCAATGATTATCCAATCGGGATTCGAAAGTTTTGATTGGTGGAGACGTTACAACGGCATTAGGAAGTGAATTCCTGTGGTTTACCGTTCACAGACAGAATACTTCCTCAGATTTAGTCTGCTCCTTCTTTTTAATAGTGAAAAACTATGTTAACTCTTGATATCTTGTTAATGTTTGTATCAGGAAGTCCTCCGCGACAGCCCTATCATATCATACATGTAGTAGTTTATACTTGAATCATATCTCCTCTTATTCTTCTGTGCTCCAGTGTCGGTAGTTAAAGAATCCTTAGTTTTTCATTCCTGGCATTTGTTTCCATGTTCTTCTTTGCACATTTTCCAACTCATTTATGCTTTTTGCAGATAGTGATTCCACTCGCAGACCCCATATTCAAGGTGCGGACATACAAGCGTATTATATAAAAGACAGAACGACTTTTTGTCTAAGTACGTGTATGTTCTTCAGATGGTTCCCATTATTCTATTGGCTTTATTGACTGCATCGTGAATATGTTCGTTGAAGTTTAGGTCTTTGTCTGTTATAATGCCAAGGTCCTTTTCTTTTGTTACCTGATCTAATGTAACCTCGACTCTTCCATTTCTCTCGTCTCTATATAAGTGTAACGGTGTTTTATCGGTTTTCTTTCCTACGTGCATAACTTTGCATTTGTCCGGGTGAAATTTCATGAGCCATTTAACAGACCATTGTTGAAGCGTATCTAAATCTTTCTAGATATTTCAGTTTTCGTTATGACTGTTAAATTATCTGCAAATAAATATGTTTCTGCATTAACAGTTCCCTGAAGATCATTGATGTAAACTACAAAAAGTGATGGGCTTTAAACGCTTCCCTGTGGGTCCCACTTTTTACCGCCCGCCAGTCTGACATTTCCCCGTAACTTTGAACCCATTTAATTATTCCTGTGATAGTCTGTATGACTTTAATTTGACTAAGAGTCTTCGATGTGGGACAGTGTCGAATGCTTTCATAAAGTCTAGATAAACTGTTTGGATTGACCCCCCCCCCGATCGATAACCTGTGTCCAATTTTTAGCATCTGTAAAACAGTTGACCTTCCGTTGAAAAATACAGATTGGTGACTACTTAGGGGATTGTTCTCTTCCAGATGGGTCATTATTCTTGTTCTGATGATTTTCTCCAAAGCTTTATATAGTACACTTGTGAAGCAAATTGGCCAGTAATTTGCTGGTAATAATGTTACATTCATCGTTCATGTTTACCTATTTTATAATAAAAATGGAATGGCTCGATATTCACAATATACAAGTCAAACTTACAAAATTCTGTTAATTCTGGTTATCAGATCTTTTCGCAAAATATCTAAAACAAAAATACAGAAAACAACCTAAAAAATGTACATATTTGTATGTATGTATGTATGTATGTAGTATTTAAAGAAAAAACCGCTTACAATACGCATCATATTCTTGATATACCCAGATATAACAGAAACGATTGCTCATGATTAAGGATAAAGAACACTCAACAAGACCATAAGGAAACAATCAGAATTGCGACAGATATAAATGATATCTGTTTATTTTACCACAATCTTTTAGTTTTACAACGTACTTCAAAAAGACAGGTATCTCTGTTTACTCACATAAAATCGAAGGCAGCAATTTTGTTGTTCTATTTTCAATTCATGACGTAACGCCAATGTCAATATTGTGACACGACATTCGATACCTGACAGGCACAGTCAATGAAAAACTCCCTAGGGTATATTACACTAGTAATAAACACGTATTTTTTTTACACGTGCGAATTCATTAGATAGCACGCGAAGATAAATTCATTTAAACACACAGACTGAATCGTAGGTGAAATATGCATCTGTTTAAGAATATTTGTTTGAAAATTCAATGACGGTGTCTGTCCCCCGAAAATCCTCCGTCTCTGCGGGGTATACTTGCAGGTGCCCTTCCCTGTGGAATCACGAAGAGTTCCGACCTTAAAAACTACAAGTCCCTTTCGTATGTTAACGTGGATTTAAGTAGATAAAGTCGATATACGTAATAATGGTATACAAAATAAAAACAGTCGCTTGATCTTTCGTTTGGATTCTAGTCACCGAGAGCAATGAACTGCACCAGCTCACAAGGAAAAAAGAGCAAAACACAGGTGATTGCTGCCAAGTTGACAATTTTGAAATGGGTTCAATGATAAATTCTGATATGTTTTCATCGTGAATACAATGCAGAGACGTGATGCCGGCATCTACTTTTTCTTCTACGATCTGCACTTGAAACTTAAGTGGAAGACAAATATCATTAACCAGTATCGACATGTGACATCATTAGGAATATACGTTTGTTTATGTAGTCTATTTCTGTCGAGAAATGTCACCGTCTGATTTTAACGATTAAGTCACTGAGGTCAAGTATTCTTAGATTTAAATCTAAAGGTTATCATTGGTGAAGACAGCGGAAGTTTTAGACCGCTGAGACAAAGCAGGTTATCATTGCTTCCTGTTGTTTTCACCAATATATTATGTACCAAAAAGTTGACTTTCATGAATAATTCTCAATTCCCAGGTAAAAACAAAACAAAAACAATATTTAGTGTGAAACCGAGAAATCGCGGGACACAATGGAAAATTAGTGTTTCCTCATTCACATCATAAACGGATTTATCGGAGAAAACCCTGACATTATTTGACCGAGTTTAATAAGTTATTACTGAAAAGCAACATCGCCTGGTGCAGTTGGTAGACGTGACTACCAATATATACAACGATTAACAACCTGCCCGACCAGTACAAAAACCCCAAAAATTTAACGGTATGGATTTGGTATCATTGCCTCATTTGATTTGTTTTCTTTATACAAGGGGATATCATTCGATGGTACTGCTTATACGTAGACAATGTCTTCATTGTGAACACGTGTATCAATCATCTTGTTAAGATTAGGTGTCTTCATTGTGAACACGTGTATCAATCATCTTGTTAAGATTAGGTGTCTTCATTGTGAACACGTGTATCAATCATCTTGTTAAGATTAGGTGTCTTCATTGTGAACACGTGTATCAATCATCTTGTTAAGATTAGGTGTCTTCATTGTGAACACGTGTATCAATCATCTTGTTAAGATTAGGTGTCTTCATTGTGAACACGTGTATCAATCATCTTGTTAAGATTAGGTGTCTTCATTGTGAACACGTGTATCAATCATCTTGTTAAGATTAGGTGTCTTCATTGTGAACACGTGTATCAATCATCTTGTTAAGATTAGGTGCCTTCATTGTGAACACGTGTATCAATCATCTTGTTAAGATTAGGTGTCTTCATTGTGAACACGTTTATCAATTATCTTGTTAAGATTAGGTGTCTTCATTGTGAACACGTGTATCAATCATCTTGTTAAGATTAGGTGTCTTCATTGTGAACACGTGTATCATTCATCTTGTTAAGATTAGGTGCCTTCATTGTGAACACGTGTGTCAATCATCTTGTTAAGATTAGGTGCCTTCATTGTGAACACGTGTGTCAATCATCTTGTTAAGATTAGGTGTCTTCATTGTGAACACGTGTGTCAATCATCTTGTTATGATTAGGTGTCTTCATTGTGAACACGTGTATCAATCATCTTGTTAAGATTAGGTGCCTTCATTGTGAACACGTGTGTCAATCATCTTGTTAAGATTAGGTGTCTTCATTGTGAACACGTGTGTCATTCATCTTGTTAAGATTAGGTGCCTTCATTGTGAACACGTGTATCAATCATCTTGTTAAGATTAGGTGCCTTCATTGTGAACACGTGTATCAATCATCTTGTTAAGATTAGGTGTCTTCATTGTGAACACGTGTATCAATCATCTTGTTAAGATTAGGTGTCTTCATTGTGAACACGTGTATCAATCATCTTGTTAAGATTAGGGTTGTCTTGTATATCATAGCACATTAAATAAGATGAAATAATGTGATTTATTCTACTTGATTCGATATTTTCCCTGATTCAAAAGATTCAAAAATGACCAAAATGTAAAATCATGAAGTTTTATTTATCAACGATTCCTAGAATGATAAACATGGCACACTTGTCCCGATATGATGTACCCTTATCCTCATTATCCAAACAACACAAGATAAA